AACAGGTAAGGGTTTGGAAGGAGTAGGATGGAGAACAGATATAGGGGATTGTCAAAGTTACATGCATGATAAACGATCAACCAATGAGGATAAAGTCGACTGCTGTCTCACAGATTCCACCCAAGATTCCAAAGTCACTGGAAGATCTCCAAAGACTGACCGATGGAGAAAAAAGGCAAGGTATAAGTCCCAAAGATAAGGAGATGGTAAATAAACATGGGGCAAACTGAGTCTCTCCCTAAAAGATCCCAACAACAGAGAAACCACATATGTAAAGAAAGAGCTAAAGTTAACAGACATGCCAACAGGGAGGTGATCAGGGCAAACGTTTGCCCTTAGAAACCATTAGGATCATGGTGGATCGTCTCAAAGAGAAGTTGGATGGTAGACAAGTACTGTAGGGTAGACGTGAGGATGAAGGTGAGAAAACTGGGCATGGGAAAAAAGAACAGGACAATCAAGATCCATTCCCCAAACGATTAAAATGGATTCCAAGAGTTGCGAATCCAGGAATGAAAAATCGGCCTGATGATAATCCAGAGCAAAGTGGTCTGCAGCCCTTGTAGGGCAAGGCATGCCATCCCATAACTGAGAAACAAAATGCTCAGCATGAACCCCAATATCAGGAGAGAGTGGAAATACAAAATACTGAGAGGAAAGAGTATCATGTATCAAGGAAAGTAGAAGATTATAGGAAATTAAAGAAAGGGATAGAACATAACATAACATAACTGAAATTATGTCCAAAAAAGCCATATTACACCTAACGGGATCCATAGCGGTAACTGGGGAGACACAACAAATTCAGATGCAGGAAAAAGGCTGTTAAAACAGTCATCCTCCCAAACAGGTTTGGCTTGTTCAGGAGGAAATTGGGCAATATCAGGAGAATTGGTGGAGGTTTGTCGCATGATATTAGGTCGTAAAGAAATAAATGTCGCTTTTTTTTTTGGCTGAATAAATCCAAACAATTTATATATCAAAACAAAACATTTATTAAATGAAATAGTCTCCATTCTTAACGATGATGTTTTCCATCTTACAATCAGGTTATTAATGTCTTGATTAAAGAAATCACTTGGCTTTGGAGCAAAAAACATGTTGATGCACTCTTTAACACTTTTCACATTTGCATACATTTTCCCATTAAGATGGTGTTGCAGCTAATCAAAAAGATGGTAATCTAATGGTGCCAAATCTGGAGAATATGGTGGATGGGGGAGAACTACCCAACCCAACTTCATAATCTTGTGTTGCATCAAACGTGTCACATGTGAACATGCATTGTTGTAGAGAAGAAAACACCTTTCTGATTGACAAGTGAAGGGCTTGATTTAAACGTTCTGGTTGCTGACTATAGATCTCTGCATTTACAGTTCACCGTGGATTGAGGAGTTTGAAATGAATCACTTCTTTGATGTTCCACCAAATGCAAAACATCACTTTCTGCAGATGGAGTCCAGTTTTTGGGGTCAGAAGTGGTTTTTGTCTAGGACTGAGCCATTGTTTTTGAAGTTTAATATTGGCATAGAGAATCCATTTTTCATCACCAGTGACAATTGTGACCAAAAATAGTTCACGTGCATTACATGCCAGAAGAGACAAAACAATGTTCACACATTGGAAATGATGATTATTGGAGAGTTTGTGAGGCACCCAAACAACTTCCTTATATGTTTACTTATTGTTTTATGAGAGACATGCAATTTCAGGGCCATTTCATGAATTTGTTGCCTTGGGTTAGACTCAACAAGCGTCTTCAGAGCATCAATATCAATGCCAACATTTCGGCCTTGCCATCACAGTTTTTAAGGCTTAAGTCACCTGAACGAAATTTGCTGAACCATCGTTGACACTTACGAACATTCAAAACATTTCCATAAACTTCTTTGATATTCTTTGTGGCTACAGAGACATTGTTTCCCTTCTTCAAACAGCATTACATGCTGAATGTGTGTCTTGGATTAGGATATACTAGACTTTACACATTATATAGGCTACACTAATGTGACGTTTAGGCAGTTCATTTAAATATTGTACATGATGTACATTTTGGGGGGTTGTTAATGAAAGTGTTCCAAAATGTGACATTAACTTCTTGACGACCTAATAATTTGCATGCATGAATCAGTTAAACAATAAGAAGAGAGAGAGTACGTAGGAATAAAAGGGTTATGGTGTGCCAAAATAATTTTGCAAATAGAGGGCAGCAATGAATGAGAATAGCTATGTATGTGAGCAGAACTAAGGTACCTTGTCAGAAATTATCTTTCACTCACACTGACTCAGTAAAGATTTCAGAAGTTCAGAGACAAATGTATAGTGAAAAAAAATTATTAACAAATCTGACTTTCTTTATGCAATGCATTTGTAATGTTTAATAAAAGCTTTCCAAATTTCATGAAGATAAAAGTAGTAATCTGGAATTACAGTAAACATTGGTATGAATACCTTTAAAAAACTGCTCAATTTAACCAAGCCCATGTACAAACAGTTTAAAGAATCACTGAATGTAGCAATTTATTCTGAATTATCTCTTAAATTTTCATGCCAACTCTCATTTAAGTCCACAGCAATCCAGATAGCACACAAACTTCCTCTGATATGGGGAGGGGCATAAAAGTTAAAATTTTCTCTACCCGAAAATGTATTTGATATAATACTCACTCTGCACAACAAAATTACTTAGTGCTTGGCACTAAACAGGCAAGTTGTTTTTTAGCAAGCACTAAGCCATTGAAAGAGTTCTCATCTCTGCATGTAATAATAAGCACTACATTAGTGTAAGCAGCATTAGACTATACTCATCTACCAACAAGAGAGTGATAAAACCACATTGGACAGTACTCCCCTTGAGCACTTTGTTTAAGATAAAAACTCATTCTTGATGAAGCAAACAGATACACCAGAAGTGGGAAGGTAGGATGGCTAGTTCTGTAGAGAGGTAAGTATCTATATGTAATATCTATTTTCAAGTACAAAAAATGTTAACTTCAGTCTATGGTACTCACCTCTCCACATAACAGTTTGCTAGAACCCCACATTGAAAAGATGGTGGAGAGGCCAACGTAAATAAACAAATTTAATAGTTGGGTTCCTCTCTGAGACTATAGCAACACAAAAGGAAAACTCATGCAGCCTGCCTCCCAAAAGAAGGTCAGTAGTTGGGAACTAATGGGAGAAGCAGTCAATGAGAGAACACCTTCATCTCATGTAGGGAATACTCTAAGTCCAATACAAATGTTTGATCAGAAAATTTCTGTTGATAAAACTTCCACCATTTTGACAAAATGTTGCAAATGTAGTTGGAATGTAAAGGCTGATCAAGTGCCTTATATAACCCAAGAGGTCAGCAGACCATAAAAGTGTAGGCGGGATAATATGTCAAGCTGGTCACAACCATCAGGAATGGTCCAGTTCTTCGTGTTGGGGGGGGGGGGGGGCTGTATCTAGATTGACACAACTGTTGTACTGACAATTGAGGGGTTTTATCCAGTGGGACTACACCAACCCGAAAAGAGAACGTAGATTTTTTAAATTTGCATTATTTTCTACCCTTCGGGTCCTTTTTTTGTATCTTACTGTGTCTCAGTACATTCACACCATTTTTTGAATACAACTAGTCCTCAGTGGAATTTGATGATCAAGTAATCAACTGACCAAAGTTATTGTTTCGGGTTATTAATATATTCAATTATTCCAACTATCCAAATCTCAAGTGAGATTAATGAATTAGTTGAATGTAATTGACTGATGAGGCTGATGATAAGACATTAATCAATTAAGCTGAAGAGCCTTGTATTAATCAACAATAGTAATGAAAAATCAACAACAGTAACAATGGTGAACACTAATTTTTACCTATCTATTAATTTATGTGACACTAATCAACTATATTGATTAATCACCCAACTCTACTGAAAGTTTGCCACCTTCACGTCTACTCTACAAGTAAACTGGCATATTAAAAGGATCTTATTTTCTCTTTAATCCCTTCTATGATTTGATCGAGATAAAATTTAGGCAAACCCTTTCTTGCCATATTTTTAATTATTTGCCTAAAGTTATTTGCATGTTATTACAATACACTAACAAAAAGTGAAATAAAACACCTGACCTTTCATGAGCTCATTTCCAAAAAAAGCCTGACACAGAAAGGATTAATATTCTTAAGTTCTTTCATATTTGGTCACACCATCCTTGTAGGTTGAAAGAGCTTGTCAACACTGTCCAAATATACCAGATTCAGCAGAAGTTAAAAAATCACAGAGCCATGAACTCTGGGGTCTGAGGCAAAGAATTTAGGATGGAACCAACCACTTGTTGTACAATAACAATAGCACTACTCACTATCAGGGTACTTTCAGCTGCCATTGAAGTACAATATGACTCATGTTGAAGAATACCTGGACTTTGGTAGTCTTCAGAAATTTAGATACAAAATTTGAATAATTAAAGAAGATCCATAAAACTGGATTTTTCATTTTTTTATTGAAATAATAAAATTAATTTAGAAAAAATAACTATTTTTATGAGAAAGTTAAAATGAAATATTTCAATTTTAAATACATGTACAGCAATAAAAAATCCAAGAAAAAGACTGAGCTTTTGGTTACATTGTTCTCAAGGTTAGAACTGTGCAAGGAAGTAGTTTAATGTTGCTGTACACATTATTATGTGCAGGGTTAAGAGATTGAACAGTTTAGCACATGCAAAAAAAAACTTTTTGGCTGTAGCACAAGGTACTAACTAACTTTTGTGTGGAGAACTGAGTACTGTAATATGAATCAGGATTCATAAACCTGTGAGCACCCTCCAAAATCCCTCAATTCCCCATTTTTAGTGGTCTCTCACAACTCTTTAAAATTTTGTTCTTTGTTTATATTTTGTGGGCATCAAGAATTATATGCAAAATTTCAAATCATTTTATCCAAAGTCAAGAATATATAGATACATAAGTAAAAATGTGAATTTCTACAAAGCTAACAAAAAGTTCTTACCAGTATCTTGAATGTTATGGCTGGTATGAAGGCTTGCTTTATCGAAGATTTTCTGAAGTAATCTCACAGCATCTTGATAACTCAACTTGGAATTACAAAAACATCTACTTCTTATTCTAGAATAGATTTCTTTAATCTGTTGATGAGCAGATTCCATCTTAGTTTTATAACAGTCTGGATCATCCAAATTTTCAAGCTTGCTTCACATCAGAATCTGTACATATTTTAATTATGATGTATTTAGTTCTCTAAAAATACACATTTTACAATAATATGTGCTAAGTATACATTTTTATTTATTAACAATCTCATAAGCAGGTGTACTTTCTCAGGTCTTTAGCCTAAACACGTTAAAATCTAAAACTTTGAAAATAAACTTAGCACCATATAACTGTGGTTTCCAACTAAAGTCAGATAACCTGTTATAGTCAAATAAAAAAAAAACAATTTCCAGATTAGGAGAAAGTTTAAGCAAAGGAAATTGTACTTAATTGGATAATCCTTCATCATGTCACATTGGGTAAGTAGGGTAGGTGAAATATATTAATGAATACTGCTACCTAAAACCATGCTTGTGGAAAAAAATGTCAATGACACCTTTGTCATTTGGCCTCATATCTTAGACATGTTAAAGACTATCCTTCATCCCAACTATCTTGACCAAAACATCCAGTTTACAAATCACATCTAACTGAAGAGAATAGTTAATTGTTAATAATAATTTTCTGATTAAATGAAATATTTTAATTTTAAATACAGGTACAAAGTTTCCAAATCACATGCATCTGAAGAAAATAGTTCACTCCTTTTCCAGACATAGAAACTGCCTCATTACATCAGTATATAGCTAATGTATCCGTATTTCAAGTCTAACCATCCATACTCCATTAATCAACTGAGCCACCAAAACCTTTTATGACCATCAACTTGAAAAAAGAAAACCTCTACAAAGTTTTCCCAACAGCTTCACTCAATCCTATAGAAAAAAACTATATACCTCTTGATCTTCAGATAAAGCTCTAACCACCACCACTCTTTATCCACCCGTTTGTTCTTAAGCCAACTGTGGTGTTTATGTTGAATATTCATTTGTTAGGAAGGTTTGTTTTTTTTACTCTTTATTTTTTTTTTATAACTTGGGTGATATAACAGCAAAATAGCTTAATTCAGAAGTTTTATAAGATTGGGTTTACCAAGTAATGTTACAGCTAAGCGTAATGTTACATTTATGTATTAAATTAGACTACATATAGGTCTACTATTAATTACCTACATTATAGGAGTCAGTGTTTAGAAAGTTTTAAATGGTGAATAAATGTTAATAAATATTATTTTGGTATTTTAACACATGTATTACCTACTTGGTCATAAAACAAAGAAAAATAAACATTTATTACTACCAAATATCTTTTATCCTTTGTACAGTCGAAAGAGTTGAAAATTTGTGTCAGAATGTCCACACTATGTTTTCTAATTCTTGACCTAGAATACAGTGAAAAGGCTCAAGAGTACTATTTAAGTCTATTTCAGAGTGCACACACACACACACTTTTGTTTGCAATAGCTTTTCTGTGTAGATTTACTAAAAATGTGGTGATTAAAGAATTACTTCATGACTGATGAAATAGGTAAAGAGTAGGTGCATTTTGGAGGTACAGATAAATTTGTTTTAGTTAAATTCTATAATATTTGTTAATCATTAAACAATGGTTTCCCATCATTTTTGCCCACCTTTTACACTATTAGGCCTATAATTATCTTGACAATCTTTATCATCTCCATTGAAAAGAGTAGTAACATTAGCCAACTTTCAATTTTCTGGCACTTGTCCACTATTCAAGGTTTTGCAAAATGTATATTAGCAAGTGACTCAAATATCCAATCCTAAACCTCTACAAAACTCTTGGGAAAGTATTATCTGGCCCAGGAGTCTTATCATTCTTTAAACTTCACAATTTTTCTTAATAAGCTCATAATTAATGTGATCAACTTATTCAATCATGTTTCCAACAGGCAACTATTCAGGATAAGAAACACTGCTTAACTCTTCATTAGTAAAAAGTGGAAAAAAAGCAGAATTTAGTAACCCAACCAACCATAATTATCATAAATGAGCCTTCCCTTATCACCCCTTAAAGACTCAAATCCTTAATATTTGCTTACCTATAATGTATTCAAAGAAATCCTTAATGTTAATTTCACATTTTCAGCCAACCTTTATTCATAAACACTTTAACTTTCTAGTGCCCTGTTTGACCAAGTATCTTGATCTTCTATCATCCTCCAAGTTTCCATCATTGCAGTTGATTTCAATTTCTTAAATTTATAATGCTTTTCTTTAATTTTAATTCTTATACCCTTTCCAAGCCAACCTAGTGTTTCACTTGCAGCCACCATTTTTTTTATACAAGAAATATGTTTATTTTGAGCATTTAAAAAAGTATTTAAAAAAAATGTTTCCACATATGATCAGTATATCCAATTAGTTCAGTTCCTCAATTCACAATACATAATTCTTGTTGCAACCCTTCAACTTTAGCTTTTCTGAGATTTCTTAACAAAAGTTTATTATTCTTGATTTCCAAATGCAGTGAATGCTTAATCTTAATTAAGCAATGATCTGTATTTAGTTTTCCTATTCCTAATCACAGTATAGGCCTAGTTAAATGCTGCCCTTACAGCCAAATTAATAGCTTTTGCAAAATGCCAGCCCCCCTACCCCATCCATTCCAAAATGATTCCTTTTCCTATTAAACTGATTCTACAAGTCCAACCAGTCAATGATACTGGTCCAACAATTAAGTATCAACAGCATTCCTAACAGGATTAAGCTATTGCTCTTTTCTTTAAATGCCTGCATCAATCCCTGTACATATCAATTAGTTCCTCTTACTTACCCTTCCCTACATTGATCATCAACCCCTTACAAAACAAAGACTGCATCACTTCTAGCATCCTTACTATCTCTGTTCTATTAGTTATTTCCTCCAGCACTGCCCCTGTATAGCATATTATAATTCTTTTCACCTTGTTTACTTCACAGACTACTCTATCCAAGAGCCATACCAAAGAATTACCTATAACTATAACTTTATGTTTTGCATCATCATTCAAGTCTGTTGGTTTTGTGCATCTTCCCTCCACTAGTTCCTCATCTACATATGCTATAGGCTGAAATCTATTACTAAATAAAACCTGCTTAGTAAATTCATTTCTAGTCCTAATATTGTTCCTAATTTCCTGAATGCAAGTTTTATCTACTGTATTCCTTGCATGTAAATCTTAAGTTCCTCTTATTGCTCTGCAATTTTCCACAGATTAAATTTTTCTCTTCAATCTTCAAAGTGTACCTCTCAAACAGAATAATCATTAAACCTGGTGTGCTCACAGTTCTCTCTAACCCACTCTATGATATCACACACTACTTCTGGCACATTCTTCCATATTTCAGTCCTTCCTCACTTCAGCTCAACTTCTTTTCTTTTTTTTTATACATTTTAGGATTCCACTCATCCAGCACTCCATTATGACTGCATTTAAACAATATCACAGATTGAAATTAACAGTGGTCCATTTGCCACTGGCCACCAAAAATTCTGGCAGACTACCTAAAAGATTTTCCTGGGTAGTCTGTGTGGCCACTAAAAAACTGCCCAGGAAAAGCTAAATTTCAGTGATTTTCCCCTATAAGATAAATAATTTTCATGCCATGAGACAAGTACAACGAAGTTATCATGAGAATTATTTGCTATGATATTCTCAAATATAGAATCAATTTCTTGACGATATACAAAGGATTGGATGAACCGGCACTCAGCCAGCTTTGACCAGCTATAGTGTATCCACCAGCATGGTAGAAATAGATGAAAATTCAGTTGCATGCTGCTTTGTATGTGGAGGGTCCTAGCCCCCACTCCAGGCTCTGAAGGGCTGCATCCACTGTCTAATTTATTCAGGGAAAAGGTGTATATTTTGCAAGGTCATCTAGGTGCATGAAATGCTGCAAACAAGGATATTTAAAGCCCCATGCCCTCAAAAATTTAACAAAGGAGTCTTGGAGTTGTTATAATCCCTTCATAAGGGATAAAACTTTTAAATTCCCTAGAAAATAGTATAAAATAACTTGAAAAAGCTCAAAAATGTGAATAAAAAAATCAGTGGCTTCCCTAGGGGAAGGGATTGTTCTGGAATTTAGGTACAAGCATACATGTAGGTACTACTGGCCCCTAAGTTAGATGTGGGGGAGGGCAGTGGATAAAGCAAGATTTCAAACTTATATTTTGGTTGTATTGAAATCAATAAAAGACACATGGATCCAAGGATATTTGTGGTGGGGCACAGCCTGAAAGATGAAACCTAGAAATATGACAAATAAATAAAAAAAAATATTAATGTGACAAAAAAGGAAAAAAAAAAGAAGATAAATGGAAAACAAAATGAAAATTACACCATGCTAACCACTCTCCATATTTGTTGTCTGGACCATGATCATTCACCCAGATGGAGTCCTGAATTATGTTGATCATTGAAGCATTATTAGCCAAGGATTACCCTAATTTATGACTTGGGCTGTCACTTTTGCAGAGCTGAGTGAGGAAACATCAAACAGAAATCATAAAAGAGACAAGGAATATCACCAAGAAAAGAGAGAGAGAGGAGTTACAGGAAATAATGGGAGAGAGTTTACAAATGGCTGAGCTTTGATGAGGAGAAGAGTCACATGTTTTGCAGAGTTTGTCGAGAAATTAATATAAAAGGAGGTCTGGGGATAAAGCTTGATGTGTTTTTTGAAGGTTGCACACAAGGAAACATGAAGAGAGTGATAACCATCAGCAGGGAAGTGAAAAAAAAAAGAGTGAAAGAAGCAGAGCCTAGAACCTCCAAAGCAAAGAAAATGCTCAACAAAATGAACAAAATGTCTTGCACCAATTGAGCACCTTTTTTAGAAATGTATATGCAATTGCCAAGAAATGCCATCCACTTAGACTACATTTGGATGAGCAGACTAGATGACACAAAAGGCTTGGATGTTGGGACTACCTATCAAAATGACAAATCAGCACAAGTCTTCACTAACTTCACTGCTGAGGTAAGTAGATGTTCAACAAAATTTTAGTTTCCCAGTTCAAGTGAGATTTGAAAATTGTTCCTGTGTTTCTTCTGCCTTCAAGTAAAAATCAATCAAATTAAGATCATGTGAATATTTTAGTGATGATCCATGAAAAGTTTAGAACATTATGCTTTCCAAACTGTCCATTAAATGTTTGTTAACTTTTGATTCTATTAATTGTCACAAATTCATTTTTCTGACATTTGAAAAGGTTATTACTCAATGTAGAGTATTGGACATAGTTATAGAAGCTTAACTTAGAAGAGACAATGTGATGATTTCTTTTGCAAACTAGAGGGGCACTAAGTACAGTGCACATCCCTGCCATGCAGCACTGATCACATTCGACCCTCAAAAAAGCATGAAAATGTGTCCTTATGTCCATTTTATGAATGGACACGGATCATTTTGGCAGGACAATGTGAAATAATATTCTTCATGTGTTCATCAAGTTTCATCAAAATCTTGCCACTTTTGACTCAGTTATAGAGCAAAAGTAGCATGCAAAAAAAATTGGCACTTATGTTATCAAATAGGAATTTATTGGATTTTCATGACCTTGTTATGACCTTGACCCTCCAAAAACTAATTCCTTCTGAGTTGGGTCATAATCCAAATGTATACCAGCTTTCATCCAAATCCATTCAGCCAGTTTCGAGAAATCATGCTGACAAAACACACAGGAGTGAAAACATAACCTCCATCACCGTCAATGTACGAGAAATTCCTACAGTTCACTTTTTACGCTACATCTCTAATGAAACAGTTCACTGCAGTGAGTAATAAACATGAAGTAACAACTTACATTATCAATACATTTGGTACTGTCTGGTTCTGTAGAGCTTATATTGTTTATTTACTTTCATATAAACATTAAAAACTGTTTTTCAAAACATTTTCAGAACTAAAAGCAGCAGAACATACAAAATCTTCAAACAGAAAGCAGCTTGTGAATTGTTTAAGTACGTGATTTTTATTGTCAGTAATATAAAACAATGTCCATGACCCCATCATCAATTCATTGTTGTACAAATCAGGCATGACCTAATCTGAAATATATATATGACATATAGCCTATGCTATATACTGGTCTCACACAATCTTGTCTTAATTGTCATTATGAATCACAGCACTTAGGGTTTGAAATTGTTCATACAACAAGTTTAGGCCTCATAGAATACAAGGATGTTTCTGATGTGGAGAGCCATCAAATAAATGGACACTGACTAATGACAGTAGGTTGATGGTTTAAGAGTCTCTCAAAGTGAGAAGAATGTAGAATTGTTTTTAAACTACCGTATTTTTCGGTGTATAAGACGCACTTTTTTACCCCAAAATTTTATGTCAAAATCTGCTTGCGTCCTATACACCGAAGGTATGAATAATATATATGTATATATACACAAGCCATGTGTAAATATATTTAAATAGGCATGAATAGTTTAGTCCAATTGAATA